TATATATATATATATATATAGTGTGTTCATTTGGTACAGTAATAATAATAAAACAACCTTTAATACTGAAGATAAATGCAGAGTGCAGATGACTTTTACTATACTCAGGAGAAACAAAAGCGATGGGAGTGCTGTATGCTACAGTATCACGTCCACCGAAATATATTTTATTTAAATGTGCATCAGAATCATAACAATGATGTTCATTGTTCCTGAGTAATCTCTTCAATGTTCTGCTCTATACAGTGTATGCAATAGGAGCATTATGAGTTGTGGCATTTCTTTTGTTCTAAATAAATGGTTGGATACTTACTCTTTTGTATTCTCTTGCTTTTAACTCCTGAAAAAAAAAGAATAGGATGTGTAAATAACATTTTATAGAAAGTTCTTAAGGTACAAGATTATAAAAAAATGTACCTTTGATTTTTGGACCAGCATGAGGACACACAGATCTGCCAGAGCATCTGACGCCTTAATGAGAGAGAAAAAACAGAATTGATCTGTTTAGTTTTACAATTCTAAACAAAATAATCTGGTCTTTCTTATGTTGTTTTTTCATACGTATTTGTTTGTTGGTCTATGAGCATTTTCAACAAAAGTTAGTATTCTCACCCAAAAAGTGTTTTCTGATGAGAGGTAAGTCAAGCACACTGCATTCATCTGAAAAATATAATATTTATAGATAAATGCACACTGGATTTATCTGCAAAAATATATTCATGTAGATGAATAGTCAACTCAAAGCCATGATTTCATGGGAAATACCTGATTGAGAATGTGCTTTTGGGCTGTTGTAACTTCTGCCACCTCTGCCGGGGCACCTGCGTCCACAAACAAAAAAAACCACAATATCAACAATAGAATACATTCATACAAGTATTATGAAGCATTGAGGCTGTCTGTCAGCAGTGCTCCTATGCAGTGATGACGAATGTGATGATTCTGGGTAAAAATGGTCTGTTTTGACATGATTACTGCCAGTACCATTAGCATTGTAGAACATAGAGTTATTTCACGATGATGCCCTGAAGTTACACACACAAATTACACATAGCCTATTTGTGCTTCTGAAATAATCCTTTTTGGAAAGATAATCATAAAAAAAATCAAACACAATGTAATATCCAAAACTTTGACACAATAGTGGTTGTGACACATGCGTCCCTGTGATCTGCCAACAAGCCTTTTAGTAACAGTAGCACTAATGTAACAAGAGTGCTGTCAATCTATCAGCAATCACAACAATACAAGTGTGATTGGTGCTTAAATCACAAGACATTAATTACATGACTGAGCTGGATAATGGCTGGAATGGGGATTAGACTGCAATTAAACTATGTTCAGTATTTAAAACATGCATGGTTTTACAATAACAGAACAATACAATCAAAAAAATAAGTGTTCCTTTTTTCACCATCTAACAACCGGTCATGGAAGAGTACCTAACAGCACTCCATCCTCCAAAAAACAGATTTTGGAAATTTTTGGAACTGTGTCCAAAAGGTATTTCTTCTGCATTTTCATTGCTTTGCGAGATCTAGCTGTTTTTCTCCTTCTTTTTCTCTCTTTCTCAAAACTGAAACAGCATTGGCCATTATTCCCTCCATGTGAGCAGGGTGGAGGCGCGCAGGACTTACTTTTGCAGCCGGGCAGAGTGAGTATGAGGAGTGCAGCAGTGGTGATGCTGAGCAGAGCGGGACTCATGGCGCAGAGGTGCGTGTGGCTGTTGGCTGCTCCGCGATGCGCACAGCTTTGGCTCAAAAAAGTCTGCATCTCTTTCTTCCACTTTTTTGGCTTGTGTTTGCTTGACTTGAGCCCCTTTTGGCAGTTACTATCCCACGTCAGAGAAATATGAAGGCGCTTGTCACACCCTCCTCGCATGGACCCCTTGGACTGCGTCAGAGCTTGGCGCGTAAAAAGTAGATTGATGTTTAGGCGCAGGAATGAGAGTGTAGGAACGACGCACATCACACCCTTGTAAATCCCCCCCCCCCCCCCGATATGTATTTATGTATTAATTATGGTATTAATTATGGTATTAATTGCCCGCTATATGTATGTTCAAAATTCTGATCCGTGCCATTCTCACCCCTATGTTTTAATTATATATGTCAAACTATGAAAACTTGAGTTGTCTTTCATTGAGTTGAATTAATTTAGGGGACAATGTAGATACATTTAGATCTTCAAATAAATATGTTCAGCATCATAAGAAAATCTGCACTGTTGGAGAGAATTTGAGGTATGTTGAGTCATTCATTCAATAGCTTATTTAATAGAACCAGATAAGATCAAACATAGATTTATAGTGATCTGCGACTTATTCTCATCACTAGAGAGAGGTTTTCCATGGATCAGATTTCACTGAACGCAACAGGATTTAATAAAGTGTCAAATCATCAATTATAACACACTAAAACCTCACACAGAAAAGATTACAATGAACGAGGACTTTCTTTTTAATGTACAAGATATGGTAATGTCATGTCTAATCATAGAAGCCCAAATTTAGCTCTCTTGGAAATCCATAGCATTGAGAGATCAAGGCTGTATCATCACTGACAGAGCAGCCATCCTCATGTGGACTCACCACCTGCAGGAGGGACTGGTGCTCAGTGAATTTGGGGCAGCTCTGGATTAAGGGGAAGAAGATGGATGGATGGATGGAAACCCATAGCAGGAGGTCTTTGCTCGGATTCCTATCTGCCCAGCATTTTTTAGATTTTCTCAAATGTCATAACCTTTACGGACCTTATTACATGTTGACTGGCATTACCTCTGGATGAGGCAAGTCCCATTGGTAAGAAGAAGAAGGTTATTGTTGGCTTATTGCCGTTCCATAATTGCACCTGGTGCATTGCTTTCAATTAGTTACTTCATTTAGACCTATGTGTTGAGGAGGAGAGCAGCAGGTAAGCTGGGTAACTTTTAAACTGTAAAAAATGTCTGTGTGAGTTGCTGAGAAGACAGTAGAGGACCAGCATAACATTAGGCAAAAGTTGCCCTGTGGAAAACGAGGGGTGAGACTTAGACAACTTTTTATGGTTTGCATACTTGTATAAAAAAGATCCCTGTTAGTGAAGGTGGTTCTTGCTTTTTACTTTAAAGATGGAGCGATAACTAGATGGATATTAATACACACTGTTGTGTTTTGAAAGTTAGGAACCCCAGCTTTAACTTTGAGAGAGAAAGATTCCTGAGCACTGACTCTCTCTGTAAGGCATGCATAGAACTTATCAAGATGTTGGGCTGACCTATATACAGTATGTTCAATGTTGTAAAGGAGTGAAAAACAAAACAAAGCACAGTAGCTACTGCCACCCTTCATCTGATAATCTGAAAATTAAAGAACTTGCAGAAGCAAATGAAAGCAGAGACAAGAATTGCATCAATTGGGATTTGATTATCAGCAACATATTGAACATAATCAATTGTGCACAAGCTTAAACCTAAAAGGCATAATTACCACAACAAACGTCTGATTACCCTTTCAGGAAACAAATACTTGTAATTCTTTATGGACAAAAAGGATGTGCATGAAACAGATATTATGTTTAATTTAAATGTAAAATTCACTTGTGTTGTTTCTATGTCAAACACAACTAATATACGCAGACAATTTTCTCAGTCCCTGTGTCCTCAACAATCAACACACACTTTAAATGTCATGACTGAAAACCAAACAGCACATAGAAGCCTCACGAAGCAGCCCTGCCATCTGACGGCATTACCTTGGTGTAAGGTTATCAAAGTGGTCTGTCTGTAACAAGCTCTTTGGGCTGTGTGTATATAGTCATTTTCTTAACAGCTAGAAAGGCAGAGAAAGGATTTTTGAGGCAAAACACATCCAATTGTAGTTTTTTGCAATCTCATTTCACTTCTTAAACCCCAACAATGTACATTAACTGTTTTTGATAATCACCAGGTCTTTCAATGTTTTTCTGTGATGACAGTAGGTTTTGTGAGTTCTAGTTGCCCACACCTGGGCATAAATATGTGGCCATTGACTGACACTCTCTGCTCTTCTCTCTCCACGGAACCTTATTTCTTTGTTTGCCTTTGTTTGATCCATTTTGGTTTTGCATTATAATATTTTTTGGTTTGTTGTTATTATTTACAATCTGTCCCTCATTTACCACAAGTCTAGAGCCAGCTTGTGACATTCAACGAATATGAAGTGTATTGTAGTCAATGTCTTCAAAATGTGTCAGTGTCTGTCCGAATGGTTCAGGATCATTTAAAAAAAAAAAAAAAACAGTGAATGCTTTGGCAGATTATTTAATGTCTCAACTCTAAACTCTAAATTATAAAGATACTGGCTAAATAGAAATAAATGCATTAATACTATGAAAATCTGCTCACAAAATCCTCCAGTTTTCTCACACTCGTCCTGTATCACGACTCTAGAACAATGGCAATGCGTTCTTCAGCCGTATTAAAAGGCAGAGTTAAATGCCAAGCAGATAGCAACTCAAACATTTCAGATCTAACCTGAAATAGAAAATGCTATCAGGCCTGATCAGCTGTGTGAATGTCAAATGGAGATTAGACAGATGTAATCACTGTCCCTTGACGCTGCACGGTTCATTAGGCTCATGTCTCTGTGACTCTGGGGCCATCATCAGCTTTGTTTGTGTGACAACCGTGGTCACCTGCACACCCCACACCCCACATCCAATAAAAATAAATGGCAGGGACTGTCATGTTCCCCATTGTATATTTCATTAGTAGTAGAATTTTTATTTTCGAGAGGACATGTTTTAATTATGGATAAATTATGTTTAAAACTAATAATTGTCTCTGTCAGAGATGTCAGAATGTGTATTTTAGGCCAAGGTTCTGACCAACGGACACTTATGAACAGTAAGTTTCAAATACAATATGTATAAGCATTAGAATTACTAGCGCCAGTAGAATTGGCTGAAAGTGAACTGTTAAACCAATGACGAGGAAGAGCGAGTTTCTACATGGGTCTGAAAGTGAGGGGCACAATTTTGTGGAGCTGTTGTGACCCTAACCCTGACTCTTAACAGGGATGATGTGGCTGATGCATGGTTTTTATTTAACAATGTGCCGGTATTAGCTGCAAAGCTAGTTTCCAACTGTAGTTGGTATAGGCAAGGTGTAAAAGGCCAACCCGAAATGGTTGGAATGTTCGAGGCAGATCTGACATTGATCAGGAGAAGGTAGATGATGAATAGCAGAGGATCAAGAACAGAACCCTGGGGATCACCTGTTGTCATTGCGGCTGGATAAATTTGGAGAGGTAAAAATTATTTTACATTTCCTGGTTTCAGGAGAAAACCAGGAGTTGCCATTGATGCCATCAAAAGATGAATTTATTTCAAGCTGAAGGATAGTGAGCCGAAGTCAGGGGATAGCACTTGTGCTTCCCGGCAAGAAATTAGCTACAGAGCTACAATCTGGCGTATATACATCTCCTGCTGTTCATTACTACAAACTGTCCCATACAAATAAACAAACAAATCATACAATACAATCAAAAGGAACAATTTAGACCACAACATGCTTTCTATATCTAATTAGATTTGTTTTATACTGAATAATGGTCTTCTCTTTTTATGAACCAAAAAGTTTTAGAGCCAAGAAAGAGTTACTGGTATATGTATTTTATTACATTACATTACAATTTAAAACCTTTGTTGTGCAGCTCATGTCAGCAAAGTATCTGTTAATTTATTTCATTAACAATTTCATAAACTCTAGTAGAGGAAAAAAATACTTTGCAAGGAAAAACATCTGAGTGCAATATGCATTAGATATATACAAATAAAAACAGATTTGACTGGACAATTATTTCTACATTCATAAAGAAAGGCATTTCACCACGATGCCACTAATGCCACAGTATGTGTTCAGCATAAAGATTTGTTTCTCAGCTTTTTCAAAGATGGAAATTTGGTATACAATTGAACACTAGCACTCCAAGAATTTAGAAACTACTCTACTGCGCTATTTCAAATCAATGAAATTCTGAAAAGTTAGTGAGATTACCATTTATTCAAAGTCACCCAGATTCAGTTTTATTCAAATTTACCTATACTCATCTTTGTACGATAACTGAATGTGAATATAACTTGAGATACAGAATAAAACAATTTGTTGAATGGTTAAATGCAAACTGGTAGAAAGTAATCAGTTGTTGTGGTTACTAGCGCATCTCTAGATAATTTCGTTAAAAATAAACTAAATAAATAAACAGAAATAAGTCACAAAGTTAGGAAGATAAAACATGTACACAAGCAGAGTAATTTGACTCTTCCAAAACTAAAAACCGTCAAAGTGACTTCTCTGGGAGTTCTAGTATTAACTCATCGTGTGCCAAATAGTGCCATTGACGCATTAATATGTCAAATGCGTTTTCCGCTGTTTTCATTTTCCCAGATGTCTATTCTATCTGATATGAATGGGGATTAGCATAAGAACATATTTTATTGAGCCAGCAGGTGGCAGCAGCGCTACGTCTAGATGTTTTGTAAACAGGATGCACTTGTTGTGAGATCTGAGGCTGAGCACATGGTGGAGTATAGCAGACAGAGAGAGACAGATGAGAAATCAGTATGGAGAAATCAGGCAATTTCAAACAGCTCACGCTGGAACAGGTGTTTGGTGGTTCCAAGAAGAGGGTTTTTACAGCTGAGAGTGGAGAGAGGGGATCGCAGCAGCCCAAAAAAGCTGCTAAAAAGTGCGCTACTGCTGCTACTGCCGCGCCTGCGCATGCTAGCGCGCAGCCCGCAGCTCTGAGGAGAGGCCGTGTTTTGGCAAGGCGCGCTGAGAGTAGTTCGGAAGAATTATCAGAGCCAGACCCAGATTCTTCGTCAGAGTGGCTCCCATCTGGATCTGCTAGCAGCAGAGAGTCCTCCCCTGACGCATTTACTCGCGCGTCAAGCAGAAC